AGGAGACTTTTCTGGCCTCATGGCTCACTTGTATATTTCTCCATCTGCGGATGCAGATGCCACAGACGAAACTTATCTCATTCATGTGGGCAGATAGCTGAAGGGAGGGTGTGAAGAGCCAGGCTCTTTTCAGTGGAGCCCAGTGACGGGACAAGAGGCAGTGGTCACAAACTGAAACACCGGACATTCACTCTGAACATCAGGAAACACTTTTTTAGAGGGTGGCTTAGCACTGGCATGGAGTTGGTTGTGGGCTCTCCATCCTTGGAGATATTCAGAAGCCATCTGGCCATGGTCCTGGTTTACTGGCTCCAGGTGGCCCGGCTTGAGCAGGGTGTTTGGACCAGGTGCCCTCCGGAGGTCCCTTCCAACATCAGCCAGTCTGTGATTCTGTGGGATTATGCAAAGATGGAGGTCTCTGAAGACTCAACATCAGGCCATAATTATTGTTTGGATGTCCGGTATCTGTCGCTCTGCTGTGGATAATAAAACATTAAGCAACTCAAATTTGTGTAATCCTCTTTAATGTCTTCATGTGCAACATGCAATTTTATTTCTTTTTTGATTTAAGTTCACCTTAAGTGATAACAGGCTGTATGTCTTACTACTGTAGTATTCTAATGCTTCTGAAGTCCCAGATGGTTACCAGCATTCAGTGTGCCCAGCAGGATGACAGATAGAGAAGTTCTTTGAGGAAAAGACTGAGTAGAAGAGATATAAGAGGCTCTTTCAGAGGACATGCTGAGGAGAAAACAAAGAGGATGGAACAGAGCTGAGGAAGAGGCCAGGCTTCCAAGGAAAACACACCTTGCTGGTCTAACAGGGTAAAGATGTAGTTCTGGATCGGAGGTTTACCTAGGAAGCAGTTTATGGAAACCTTAAAAATAGTATTAATAAGTTAATGTATGTGCTTCTTGAGTTAGAATGTATCTCCTGTTTCGGAGACACATGATTAGGTCAATTATTAAATATCCATTTATTTTCAGCATCTTTGGTTTTGGTTGCCAAATATGAGACTTACAGAAACAGATACTTTTCATGAATTTTCTGGTCTCATTTACTTCAATTGAACAAGTTGAAGGAGGCAGTTAATGTACTGAAAATGTAGCTATAAGGCAAATGCCAATTTGTCCTTTCTAAATACTGTAAGAGCATGAAAGAATCGTGCAGCATGCCCTAGTGGGTTTTCTTAAGTCTTTTCCACTGGAAACAACCGATGTTAATGTCAGTGGGTTGCAAAGTGATTTCCAAAAGGTATGTGATCAGTGTCGCCATCTCCTGGCTGTTTTGTTGAAGCAGGCATTCCAGGTACCACTGACTGTTCTAACCTGCATCAGTGGCTGGTACGGCGCAAGAAGTCATCTGGTTTTGCCCACATCAAGAATCATGAGAAGAGCAAAAAAGTATGATGGGTCAAGAAAAGGATGAAGGAATTGGAATTGTTTGGTAGAAACCAAAAAGGAGATGTAAGTTTTAAGATATGTTTTGGCTACAGAGAATTTGGCTACAAAGTTGAAGGAAAAACTGTTGTCTGAGTTGGCTTTGAAGAAGTCAAAACCAGAGCCTTAATTTGCAAAAAGGGAGATGTAGATTTTAGATGTTAGAAAGAAAAATCTTTTTAATGCTAAAGGTAGTGAAACACTTGAACAGATTATTTGGGGATTTTGTGGAATCATGGTTAGAAATGTTAAGCAAGTATTTCTTTAGGAATGATAGAAATAGTTTTTCCTAATGCATGCAGGCAGAGGGCAATTTTTTCTTTGATTCAAAGACATAAGTGCAATATACAGTCACTTTCGAACTTTAGGAATGTTGCACAGATTGCTATTCAAATGTTGCTTACACTTTTAAAAAATGTGGCTGGATCAATTAACATAATATTATCTCAGAATTTCTAATATTGTCATTTTTAAATTTATTTTTTATTTATTTTTTTATTCAGCTTCTGTTCTCACTTCATCTAGAAAAATGAAAAAAACCCATCCAGTTGATTCCTGGGAACCCAGCTTGGAGAAGTATATGTACCCTGCATGGCATAAAAGGCTTTTAGCAATATGCTTTTTTTTACAGTTCTGGTGCAAAATAATGTCTTTTTTTTTCTCCTGCATATAAGCCAGCTTTATTCAGAACCTACCTTCTTTCTTTTTAATTCTTAATTATCTTGCCTTCTGAACCAGTGAATGAAGACTAAAAAGTGTCTCTGAATACAACTGCTTTGATTCTTAAGATAGCAGATAGTGTTGGAAATTAAAGCATAACTTCTGAATATTTGAGTGAAGTGGATTAAGACATTATTATGTGTTGCCTTCTTCCCTACTATACTTATTTCATTACTAGCAAGTAGGCTGTTGTCACATCCAAAAAAATACTCAATGCAGTAAAAAAAAATTCCAGGCCGTAGCTGGTAGATGTTAAGCCGAATGTAACGGGAGCTCCACTATGGAAGACCTAACTACCTGATTTGCAAGGAGTAAAAGATGAACAGAGGATCAGCACTTTCATGCCTCTTCTACTCTTGCCCCTAAAAGGTTAATAGAGTAGTCATTTTAAATTGTGATTAAAGAGGCAAGTGCATGTGCTTGAAATTCCTGTTTGTGAAACAACAGAAGCTCTGTGAGACCTCAGGGCCGGGGTGAGATGGGAGGTGCTGAGCCCCCGTCACGAAGAGGCAGTAATTCCTAGGTGGCTGCTTTAGGTAGCCTTAAAGAGGCTCAAGGGGGTCCTAATGTGGGTCACCACACTCAAATTATTAAAAAGAAGCCTTGTTAGATCTACGTTACCCATAATGTGGATTATCAAAGGCTGCTGCTTTCATGGATATATGGGAAAAAAGACTTACCAGAAGGATAGGTAGATATTGTCAGAATATTGGTTTAAAATGTTGCTGTGAAGGAAGCTGTTTTGATATTATAACCAGTTTTAAATTCTGCTCTGATTTTTGTTAGGAAGAACCCTGTCATTTTTTTTTCCACCACAGCACCTGTGGACAGTAGATGAGCTCTTCAAACAGACTGCTAGTGAACTGAATCCAATTTCTGTTACGTATCTGAGTTGTTACTGTTGACTCTTTTTATTTGTTTTACTTCTCCACGTCTCTGCCCAACGTTATTAATTTCTCAGCATTAGGAACACAGCCTAAGAAAAGGTTCTTCAGACTTGGATTCATTTGGTAAGATGCACTGAGATAATTGTCTGGTTGGCCACAGATGAGCATTTTACAGTTCCTGCTTATTATGGCAAGATCTACTGGCAGCTCTTACAAACATCCTGCGGATCCACCTCTGATCTTTCTGCAGTCTATTGGAATATTTTCTGTTTGATTCTAGAACTGTTTTAAATAAGAGCATCTAATTGAGATCCTTGTTCCAAGCCTGGGTCCTGGTTTCATGCTGCTGTTTCTTTCCAACTAAAGCTTATTCAAGCAAATCAAAGTTCCTCACGGATATGCATCACCTTGGGGAATCACTGAATCAACAGAAGTTTGTGCCAGCACAGGGCAGCTTTTCAAAGCCAGGCAGCTTTTATGTCAGGCAGAATGAGGTATTTCAGCATGTCCTTGGGTGACAGTAGAGAAGCGGAAGTCTTGCAGTTGTGGTCACGCTAGGTGCATCTCTGCTTCTCTGATCCTGTAAGAGCCTCCCTCCTTCTGAACAGGGTAGCAAAGCTCTCATCACACTGTCCAGATAGTCTTGGTTTTTTGTTTCAACTTGCAGTCACATCTTTTTCCCATACTTGTTCGCAAGTGATTGTTAAAAATTTATGTGGCAGTGTTGATGTTGCCGTGTATCTTTAGAAGAACCCAAGCTCCAGTACTTGCTCGTGTTTTGACCGTTCCTAAGCAGTTACACACAGTAGCCCAGGTACTGTGCTCTCTTGTTCCCTTGTTCATATCATCCTGCAGTGATTTGGTATAAAAATCAAAAATGACCTGAATCCTACACAACTTTTATGACAGCAATACAGAGTTTCTCTGCATTACATGGAACAACTCCCAATCCTTTATTGTTCATACAGCTCTTTTATGGAAAGGGGCTTGTAGTACAGAATGTTGTTGTTACTTTCCTGGTCCTCCACTTTCTCCTTATTAATGGCATTGTGAAGGACTCACAATAAAAGAATGCTGCATCCTAAACATCCTAACTGCTTTTGGTTTAATAATTGCTGTTCTTTGACAATAAAGTCTATCCTATGGCATCTGTGCATATGGATATACGAATAAGATATCAAATATCCTAATTTAGAGCACTTCTTTACTAGCAGGAGAGGTGAAGAAGGAAATACTCTTTTAGCTAGTAATGGCTTACTTTAGGCCATCTGTTTTTATTTCTAGTTACATTATAACAATATCCCATTATCACAGTGAGTGTCCCCATAGAACATTTTGGAAACTCTGAAGTGTGTTTTTTTCTGTGTGTTGCTCTTCCTTGTGCTGTGGAGAGATATGTGCAGGTAGAAAAACAAAAAGCATGATTTAGAATGAACTTTAATTTTTAGATTCTCTCTCATCTTTCAGTTAGTAGAGTCATCTTTCTATCTGGTGTCTTCTGTATTTTCTTGCTTGAGGATTATGCTGCACTTGAATTTTCTTTTTCTGTGTAAAATGACAGTAAAAATGAAACCTGAGTTTGTGAAGTATTTTAATTAGAAGATGAGAATTTTCTGTAAATGTCTGGCTGTTGAAGAGGCCATGACTCACATCACTTTACAGGGGATTTTGAGTCACTGATGTAAAACACGGTAATGTCAAATGCATTATGAATGTCAGACAAATTTGTAAGATTTTATAACTGTTGGGGTCAGTTTCACTTAGATACAGATGCTTATATGCTTAACTGTTATTGCCAAGAGATGAATAAGAATATTCTGAGTCCTGAACCTATTCTTAAAAAAGATGTATGTGCATGCCAGTACAAAGTAGTGTAATCACACATTTTCATAATGTCAGATTATTTTATGTGAATGTATGCTTTTACTGTGAAACCTTAGCTATAAAAATCAGAATGATTGATGCAAAGTAAGTTAAATCAAGACCAAGTTTGGCAGATTCTTAGTTAAGTCAATTAAGATACAGTACTTCCACTTACTTAGCTCTTTGAGTAAATTCTGAGGTTATAGATTAAAAAATTACTTCCTGAACTGAGTATAAAGTTTTATGAGATTTATTTTAATTGAATGCTCTTATTCCTAAAAAAAAAAACAAAACAGGAAAAAAAATAGTCTCATCAGTTGGGAAGGCTGGCTGTTATGTACTTCCAACTTCTTTTCTAGGTTTGTAGGCGGAGAGCTGAATATATGTTACAATGCTGTAGATCGTCATGTTGAGAATGGACGAGGAGATCAAATTGCCATTATTTATGACAGTCCTGTAACAAATACCAAAGAGAAAATAACATATAAGGAACTTCTTGAACAGGTATGTTTGAGAATAACCTTGTTACTCAAAATGGGCAGTAAATATTGTACAGCAGGTAGACACTAGAGAGGTAGAAATGGTCTACCTTGCTAGTTTATTCCTTTTCCTGTGCTCAGTATTGATTTATAAGCTTCAATACCTGTACCAAATTATGCTGCATCTAAGTGGTTTTGATCTTCCTCTAATTCTCCTTTTTCTTCTGCAGTTTAATAATTTTTTCCATGGTTGGTTACATTTTGAACTTTATTAAAATGTAAAACAAAGTATTAGTGAAGTCACTTTGACAGTTGCTACGATGAACAAAAATACAGTTCCAGTAGAAATGAAGATGCTTACCTAGGGTATTGCTGCACATATCTGAGTGTAAAAACAAATGAAATTTGACACGGAGGAGCTCTAAAGAGAGCTGCATCCCCTGCCCTGCTGTAGGCTGTAGGGGTGCTGGTGGCCCCACGCTAGTTTTCTGCCTGGGAAGTCTGTGGATTTCAACTCCCCCGTCGGTGGAGGTGGCTTACCCCCAGCTGGGGTGGTGAATACCCAGTTCTGCGTCAGCCCATTCAGATGTGCTGAGTGCCTGACCCGGGGTTGTTGCCACCATGGGTGTTTGCAGTCTGCCCCGGTCAAGGTTCTCTGCTCTCACAGCCGGCAGCTGGTGGTTTGCCCTCACGCTGCTCCTCCGCTGAGCTGGCTTTTTTCTTCCAGTTATACGGAGCAGTTGCACTTAACACTGAGTGCAAAGCAATGTTTGGGTCAGACTTGCATTCTTCCTTAATGTGTTTCAGTGTGCAAGATGCATTACAGCGAATGGAACATGCTGTACTTGAGATGTGCTCCTAGGGTCTGGAGTAATGTGAACCTACGGTTTAAAATGTGAAATGAGGTTCACAATACAGTAATTCAGTTTGTGAGGGTTTTGTTCCACTGTTGCAGAAAAGGAGAAGTCATACAGCTACAAAAAAAAAGATAAACCTGTAGTGCAGTCTACCTTATAAGGAAAATACAGAAAATATTTACTCCTCACCAGTTTCCTGTTGATTTACCGAGTCCAAAAAAGAACTTAGAAGTTACCATACAGTTTGCTGGAGCTAGAACAACTAGCTTCAATGTTTTAAAAAATCAGGGGACTTAAAAGGGCCCAGCTCCTTATCTAATTTTATATATAATTTTATCAATATATATTTTATATATGTAGTACGTTATGTATATAAAATCATAATTTTATATACATTTTAATGTGTCATGTACCATATATAAATATAATACATACACAATATATGTACAAAATATACATGTATGTATTAATTCATACATATACAGGTAAAAATACATACTTTCTTATTTTAATGAAGTAATAAAACATTTTAATGTAAATGATCTTAAATGGACTGTCTTTGTAGAAATTTCCTCTGAAAAGCACTTGAAAAGTAGCCTTTGTTTTGCTTTTTAAGCTTGATGTTGGTATTAAATCTCCTAAGTTTGTGTGCCTGTATTCTCTATAAGCATATTAAATGTTTTAGGATATGACAGATTTGTGCAGAATGAGAGAGTTTTGCTCGTTGGCATACGCAGCCTTTCCTCCACATTTCCTCTCACAGCAGCATTACCAACCCGAATGGAAGAACTGATTTAAGTTCTCTGGGGATGTGTAGCAGAATTCAGAATTCAGAAGTTCATTATAATCTTGCTGGTAGCTGAGTCCTAGCTAAATAATGTTTTTGAATTCTTCGCAGTTTGCTTTTCTTCTTAGTCAAAAGGGAATACACGTGAAAGGCAGGACTTGAGATTATTATCTTGTCCGTTGAAGCTGTCTAGTCATTCTGTGGAATAAATTTAACTTGATTTACCTGATAACTGTTGGGCACCCGATAACAAAAGTATTCACACAGAGATTTGCTGAAAATGGGAAGGACATGGGCTGGTGTATTTTGTGTCACAGATCTCGTAGGGTCTAGGAGTGACTTGGAGAAGAGGCCTACCAAACTACTGTGGAGCGTGGGCGGTGATGTTTGGCTCACAGCCCTCCGTCACTGCTTGCCGCTGTAAAGTCCTGTAAAAGTACTGTATCGTGTCTTTTTGAAATCACCTTTCAGTGCTCCGCATGTTTCGTTATAGATCAGTATGAGTGCAGACCAGACATATGACCAACATTGATGAACACCCTGGTGGGGAAAGAAGCCTTTTGCCTTCTTTCCTGAGTTCCTTTCCCAATTTAAAATAGCTGGACAGTGTGCATCTGTGTGCAGACTGTCGTTTGGACTGTCCACGTCCAGCGAATGTTTAGTAGTCTGTCTGGCCAGTAAGCTGATGAGGATGTCTTTTTCAGAGAGGCTGCTTGTTCAAAATGTTTGTACAAGAGATCAGCACTTGGAAGTGGTGGGATTCTTTCTGGCTTTTGGTAATGGAAGTGGAGTTTGTAGATGGAGTCATCAGAATTTCTGTAGGATAACTGTGGGTCACAGCATGGGGAGATGCAGAGTTTTGTAGCAGGTTGGATCATTTGTTCCAGGATCAAACTCAGGGTAAGAATGAAAAAAAATGACATAGGTGCTTGATTGGAGTTAATAAGGCTCCTTTGGGAGGGTGAGATAGCTTGAGCTATGTACTCAGGAAGCCTGTTGTTTTCAAATTATCCCTATCCTTTTTACTTGTTGCACTACTGTTCAAATCTAAGAGCTACAGTAATGCTGCAATTTTGAAGTTAAGCACCACTAAACTATAAATAATTGAGACAAATGTTAGAAGCTTGTGGTTGTTTAGTGCCCAACTTGTGGGAAACTTTCTTCTTTGGGCAGGACTGGAATAGGAGGATTGCAGGACAATTTCAGCAATTCTTTATTGATGTAAATAATGGCAAGAGGAGTTTGTATCGATACTCTGTACCACTTGGAAACTCTTGAGAAAGTCTTGAGAATTAGTTAAAGTGAAGTTCTATGTAGCGCATTTTAAGTGTGTTAATTATATGTTGTTACAGATGAAATCTTCCAAATGCAGAGAGGAGGAATTTGGTGAATTTAAGATGAAACAGTCTTCCAGAATGTACTGATTGGACTTTTTTCTTTACTAATGCCTGTTACAGGCCTTTAAATGAGGATTACGATGTTGGACTGAAGCCATTGAAATGGGGGTGTAGGTGAAAGTTTTGAGCATGCCTTGGGAGATTCTCTAATTCCAGTAGTGGGGTGGCAGGAAAGGGCAAGGGAGACACATATTCTGTTAGAAATATTACTGAATTTGTGTAGTATTAGGGAAATATAGAGACACCCAGAAGAAATAAGGAGCAATGGCTTCTGTTAATTTAAAAACAAATGTTCTGATTGTGTTGGAAAACACTACCATTTTCAAGATAAGGCAAAGGTTGTTAGGTAGGTGAAAAAAAGCCTTCTGTTTACATTGTTGGGTATATTCTCTAGAATGCCTCCCTTGCTAAAAAGAAATCTCAAAAATTTGAGAGTCATATTATTTGCAGTTGTTGATGCTTGACAGATCATGTACACAAAAGCAGTATGATTTCTCTCTGTGATTCTTTTCAATAACAATGCACAGTTAACATGTTGAATTCAGTGCCGTAATAAATAATTTCTGAGTGTAGTAATGTGATGGGATTAGTAAAACCAACACCAGCACCCCCCGCCCCAAGCCTCTGACAGCGTTGAATATTACAAAAATACGGATGAGAAAGAAGGGCTTTAGGTTATCAACAGTGGGCTAGGCTTTTTTCTGTAGGAAGGTTTTTTCCATACATACCCACCCCGAAAGCATCTTCTTCCAAAATAGCTGTATTAGCTGTTGTCTGTTTGTATTTATGTGTGCATCTGTCTTGCTCTGCTCATATCTCCTGTACATGACTGAGGATTCAGCCAGATTGCTCTGTTTGTAGTAGTCTTTCTCGTTCTTCGTGCTTTGCTCCATCTCCTTCCTTTGCCTTCTGCCTTGAAAAAGGACCAATTCCTTCTTAGCTAGAAATAGTGACAACATTTCAAGACATTTTTTCTCAGATTTGCTTTAGAATCAAAACGAGAATACAGACAGAAAATCCTACTGAGACTGACAACCCAACTTTTTATCCTTCTTGTCTGGTAAAGCAACATTATCTTGATAAAACTATGTATTAGACTTCTTTAATGCTGGTTTTCCTTATCTTATTTATGTCTCAAATGGCATTCTTCAGTGCACATCCAAGAAAGATTTAACTGCAATGTCACTGGGGTAGCTCTTCAAAAATATCAATATTAGTATTCTTTAAAGGATGAGACTAATCAGGAATTTACAAAGAGTGGTGTCTTGGGTTTTTCATGTTCCACACAAAAGACTTCCGAATGACAATGTAAAAGTCTGAAGAAGCAGCTGGAACTTGATCTCCCCTGACTGAACATAGTTAAACACTGCAGCATGTCCGCGTCAGCTTTGCCTACGGTAATGTATGATTTGGTGCAGCTTGGGCAGATGAGTGAAGCAAAGCCATACTGAATTAGCTGCTGAGGCTCCTGACATCTCTATTATATGTGATTTGTGAGTTTTACTTTGGACTAGGTTTAGTTTCATCCTTTGAACTGAATGTCCCATAGCTCACTTCAAAGCCATCGGAACATAGCTAGCCCACAAATCTTTGCTGCCTTGACTTGTGGATTCCTTTAGGAAGTGCCAAGCTCACTCTTCATCTGTCTCACTGCTGCTTGATTTCTCTCCCCATTCTGAGTGGATGTTGTCCAAATAATGGCCTTTTGGGGGAACATAGATGCTGTCGGGGTTATGCAGAACACTATGGGCTGTCCTTCACAAGTACGAGAAATTCCTCCTCAGGCAAATCGTTGCCTGGAACCCATCTCTTCTGTGGAGTGAATGCCATGGCATCACTTCTGATCAAACATTAAATCCGTGCCAAGCTGGTAAGTATTGCAGAATCCCCATCTCATCCCAATCCCTCTTTTGAGACATACGGTCCACAGCTCATCTCCCAAGCCAGGAAGGAAAATGGCCCTTCCCAAAAATCCCCAGCTTCCTCTCAATCCAAAGAACTTCTTGGCATCTGGAATAATGAAAGAGAAATTACTGCATCTAACTGCAATTCCAGCAGTTGTCTGGCTGTATGAGAAAGAAATAGAAATCATCCTGATTCATATTTTTTCTTGTTATTTGTGGAAGAGTGTACCAGCACCACGACCACCACTGAGTAGGTCCTTTATACACTGCATTTGGGACAGTGTGGCTGGGGTTTTGTGCAGAAGCCTTGGGGGGCTGTGTTGCCAAGGCATGCTGTGTCCATAGCTTACGTAGTTGCCAGGACCGTGCCTGGCACACAGGCAGAGCTGGGACAGAGCCAGTGATCTCTGATGGAGCTTGCTAATCCACAGAACTTTCCTCACAGCGCCTGGGGAATCATCTCTCAAGGCATAGCAGATCTCCCAGCCAATCCAGAGACCTACACCACCTTTCTGTAGCTCTGCAATTGGTGCTCTAGTTCTACCAGAAACCTCCTAAACACAGTCCCATGCTCAATACATGTATAGGAAAGGAGTATGCATGCTCAGGCAGGCATCCGGGCTGCTGATTTTGCAGTTCCCATTGCCTGCCACGGCAGAGAGTGGGCCAAGGGGGTGTTCCTGGGTGTTGTTTTGTGGGGTTGCTCTGGAGGTTGCAGGCATGTAGACGTGTGCAGCACCATTGCCATGCTTTTCCCTAGACTGTGTTGTGGGACTGCTGATCCTGGGATCAAGGGCATGGATGTCCTAGCATGTCTGTGGAAGAGCAGTAGGCTTGGCAGAGTGCTCTCCCCTCCCCTGAAGATCAGCTCAAGATCTCTGTGGTAGGGGCACACGCACTGTGCCACCTCTGAAGCATGGTTGTCCCACCTCTTCAAGAAGCTGGTTTTCATCTGCTTGAAATGAATGCAGCACCACTTGTCAGTCCTCTCCCACCTAGCAGCAGGCTTGACATTGGCAACACGGTGGTGCATCTGCTGCAGAAGCTTTTGCAGCAGTAGGAAAAGGAGGAAACGTTAATTAAGAAGGGTAATAGAAGAGTGGAGAGGCTGATCAAGGGGCAGGGGAAAGCAGTAAGGAGTACTTTCTTCAGTAGTCTTGGAAAAACGACACAGTGGAGAAGCTGGAAGAGCATAAGGGGACTTGCTGTCGTTGGTTTAGAAGAATGTGTATGTGCCATGGCTCTCTACACCATGAGATGCTCTTCAGGATGTTTTGGGAGCTCTTGGTATTTGAAGAAACCTTTTGTGTTTAGCTTGCATCGAAGGACTTGACACTGCTGAGACCCCAGTCATTGTTCAACTCAGGAAGGACTGAAGTTCCTCTTTTGAGGAATTTGGAGCGGAATTTCTATTTTAGTATCTTAGAATAATTCTTTTGGCCTGGACCAAAACTGTTTTTTATAACTACTAGGGACAGCCAGGTAATTTACTTCAGAACTGCAGTACTCCAAACCTAAACTGCTAATACAGATGTAGTATTTTTCTGGCTGGGTAAAAATAAAGCCATGCTCACTGGGGGCTTGCATTTGATAGAAGTGTAATTTAAGCCCAGATCTTCAAAGCTGAAAGCCTACTTGAGTTTCTTATTATATCACTTGGTCTCAAGTGATTTTATTACTGAAGTGTCAAATATATTAAAGTGATAGAGCAGTCTTAAACTTGAAGACAAGCGGAGAAATAGCATGCTGGTAGGAAAATAGCAACTGTAAAATCTTGAGTGATGAAGTACCCTGTCTTAATGTAAACCATAAATGACAACATAGTGTAACAAAGTGGAAGGTTTCATGGCTTTTAACAGTTTAATGAAATGTCACTACTCCCTCCCCCCCCCCCCCCCCTTTTTTTTTTTTTAGAAAGAGTGATTACTTGGATGTTTCAAGGTTTCTACATCGATCTTATGGGCAACGTAAACCTGCTTTATGATGTTCCCTAGTCTTCCAAACAGGTGCAGACAGAGACAGTGTTTGATTGTATATTATGTAGTCCAAGTGCTCCCTGGCTGTCAGAAGGATGAGGGAAAGGGCACAAGGAAAATCACAGATACCCATGTATTGTATTGGGTTATCATCTTTGGTGACATTAAACTCCCTAGTGTGGGGAGGTTAAGTGCAAGCAAGCAATTACTGTGTTTCCATGGAAGACATGGAAGACAGTGTGCTGCACATATTCTGCTTGAAGTACAATTTGCCCATGACAGGTTTCAATAAAAATGACTTACGTACATGCAGATCTCTTCACTGTCTCCCTCCTACAGCCAGGTGCCAAAGTTATATAGCTTGTATAAAGGCACTGGGAGTCTTCTATTACAAAATTACTAATTATGTACTTTAAATTACGCTTTTTTTTTTCCTTTAGCAGGCCAACATTGCCTTTTTCATCATTATTAATGATTATAAAATCATAATAATGATGAATAGTAATGCTCCATTGTGTTTAACCGCTTATTGCCTACTATCCATACTTACACTGAATATTAAATTATCCATTAAATATTGTTTTCATTGCCTCTGGCCTTTTTGTCAACACTCTGCTTGAGAGTCTCACAAGCAACAAAGATAAGGATTAGTTTTCTCAGTTCTTTGAGGTAAGGTGATATTAGCTCTGTGTTACAATTTTACAATGAGTTTGCAGATTTTAATGTTCTCACAGTAGGAAGCATAGAAAAGCAATTTACCTTTGGAAGCAGAGTTGTCATCCTTACTTACAATTACCTTCACCATTCCTATCTAGAAATGACTGTAAATGCCAGTGGTATGGCAATAAATTCTAGCTGTGTACACGTCCAGGCTGTTGGGTTTTGGTAGTGTATGTCAGTTTCATAGAGTATTGATAGGTATTAATAGGTCTAGAATTAAAGATATTTCCTTTTGATAATCAGTAATACTTAATATAGGAGGCCTGTTACAAATAAATCATATGCATACCTTAGTTTGTGTGAGTTTCCAGCTTGGTATGGTGATGACTTTGCCTTATAAACATATTCTTTCTTGCGGCTGAAAATCACAGCAGGGGTTTATGCAATGTTCATAAAAATGGAAGCTGTGCCGTTATCTTCTGATGCAAGCGTGCATGCTTGGGGCTTCTATGTTTCCATTTTCTTAAATCCTCAGGCAGAAGTGTAGCAATATGCATAGTTTGATTGCGGATGAGCTGTGTATTTAATGCAAACACAGGCCAGATGCAGCTGGAGCTGCTGGATGTTACTGTCTCAGGTTGCTGAAAGTCTGAACATGGTTCCCACTGAAGAGAGCAGCAGTGAGTAATGCTATGTTATCCTCTTCAGTGCATGTATCAGATAGGCTGCTCAAATTTGATTAATAATATAAGTGAAAGTAAAACATTTCAAAGAAAACCTACCCTCCTGAGTAGCTCATCCTTGAAAAACAGGGTCCTTCCCTCCTGTCCTGCTTGCTTTTTAGTCTTATCACTAATGTAAAACTACTGCAAGCAAAGCTGTTCTTATTACGTCTGACTGGTGTGTAACCATGCGTATGGAGTATTCCAGTTTACAACTTCCTGGGATGGTTCTACTTCCATCCTGTTTCCTGTTAGCATAGTAGTCTACTTTGTTTCTTCTTAGTCTACAGTTTTTCCTGTTAACCTATTAGCCTATGTTTTGTGCACATTTACATGCAGTTTTACCTCTATTACTTACACACTTCTACACACTGATGCCTAACTGAAAAATTTAAAGGCAGTGATAAAGGCAGGTGTAGATACTGAATGTTACACAACTGACAGCCTCTGGAATTTGAGAAACCTCTGACAGCTGAGTTCATTCAGTTGCTCTTGGGGAATTAGTAATTTGCTTTTCCTTCAGAAGATGCCACATTTCCATGTCGCAACAAGCAGGTTGGGACAAGTACACAGTGCTTGTCATAAGCTCCCGTGCTCACTCTGGCAGAACTTACTATGTGGTAAATCGTCCGTCCTGGTGTACTAATGAAATACTCAATACCAGTTTTGTGATAGAATACTATACACTGTCGAGTTAATAAATATTTTTTCATGGTGTTCCAGTCCTTTGCTGCCATGCACAGTCTGTCTTCATGCTTCTGCGTACCAAAGAATGAAAGTCTGAAAGTGAAAGGAAAAATGATTTTCTTAAGTCTAAATGTGTTTCGCTGAATTTGTATTTACGTTTCGTTAAGGGGTAAGATTTCTTGTCTCAGGTTCGGAAAAGTTTACAACACTGTAGTAGAGAAAATATTACTACATATTGATTTGTGTTTCAAACTTAGCTAGTTAGGACAGATTTGTGTTATGAAATGCCCTGTTTACACCCATTCTTAAAAGCTAAAATTGAAAAATATAAACAGTTAATCTAGATTAAAAAAAACAGAATGGCTAAGGTGTCATTTAAAATTTTGCAAAACATTGCTATTGATTTTTTGCTCTAATGTGTCAAATAATTAGCTTCAGTCCATTCTCATTTTACCAAAAAAAAAAAAAAAAAAAAAAGAGATGTATTACAGTGTTTTTTGCAAAAAGGAAATTGTCCTAAATTTATTGAACCTGGATTGCATCGTTCATCTATTTTCTGTATTGTACTGGCTTGTCTCCTTAATGTCCTGTGTCTGTTGATTGTGTGAAAGTCATTTTTTATGGGGCAACAGCAGGTCCGGAAAAACTTTTAATGTGTTGTGAATGTTTTGTCAGTACAGGTCTCCAAGTTAGCTGATGTCATGGTCAGACATGGTGTGAAGACAGGAGATCGTGTGGTCATCTACATGCCCATGATTCCACAGACAGTGTACTGTATGCTGGCTTGTGCAAGAATAGGAGCCATCCATAGCCTGATTTTTGGTGGATTTGCATCTAAAGAGCTTTCTGTGCGCATTGATCATGCAAAGGTAACGCGTATTAGGAACAGCAAACACCACTGCATTAGTTATTCATATAAATCAATGTCAACCCCCTTTTTTTCCAGAGGGGATAAACTTTCTTTTTGTGTGGCATGCCGTCTCAATTTGTTTATAATACCTATCACTGAAATGTGAACAAAGTACTACATCTGTGCTGAGGGTGATACTTTCAGAGCAGACATTGAGATACACATTTTGGCCTCTTCTAAAAAAGCATGAGTTTCTCACACTGCTGTCTGTTTAGAGCATACTCTCTTCTCCCATTTGTCAATCTCCGTCTACAAAGCATCACCTTAAAATTGGCTTTTCAATCCAGCATTTTCCTCAAGTGTATGAGGAAAATGCTGCCAGCCTTAAATGACTTCATTGGTTTACTTGATGTTTATACATACTAAGTAGTATGCTTTCCAGCTATATAGCTACTTTATCTAATTTGTACACGAATCAAGGCAGCTGGGGAACCAGTTGTCTTAAGCAAGTCACTCTACAGAGGACTTAATTAATAGAGGTGAATGCTTTAAAGGCTTCCATGTTCGGCACAAGTTGAACTTGTTTATGAAGCATTACGTAAGTCTTTGTAAGTGAAATGCAAACAGTACTTTAATAACCTACTTAGTAGCTTATATGTGCATGTTAACAGCTTGTGCATACATTAGTTTCAAATTAGCTAACAATGTTTGTACCAGAAGTTTCTGTTCTTGTTTTCTACCAGTGAGCAAGACAAAAGTCATCTTGATCAGTCACCTGCATCATTCAGACCATCCATGGTAGCCACCTATTGCTGAATCACGTTGGTTAGGCATGTAAGCCAAAACATTACGCAGGGTGAAGTCCACATGATTTCTGGAACTTGTACTTAGATTTTTGTCTGCAGAAGTGCTTTTCAGATCCCCCAAGCCTTGAATTTTATGAATATTTGTAAATAGAAAGTTGAATGCATTCCCCCTCCTCCCTTTTGATGTTTTAACAAAGCAGAAGCTAATAAAACAGCTAAAATGGTTAGTTGGAATTGTGAAAAAGAGATGGGGGAAGACTAACGACAGCTCTGCAGTTTTCCCTGCCTTTCTTCCCTCTCCCTCACTATTTCAGTGAGCTGTAAAAATTAATTTTAACTCATAGAAGCTTTTGATTAGGGAAAAATAATGTGGAAGAAAAAATGATAGACTTTTAAAATGGAAGTTGCTACAATATGAATCATCTAGCATATTTACTTTTAGAGTATTTTGCAAATATTAACTAATTAATCCCAATGGACTTTCTCTGAGGAACAAAGGGAGACAGCACAGTAACCATAATCCTTGCTTCATGCATTAAAAAGAAAACGGAGAAAGTTTAAGTGATTTACCCAAGGTCACACAGCAAGTCTTTTGCAGAGTTAGCTATAGAATTACTAGCTGCAGGCCATGGATTAAATCCATACATTACCCTTTTCTTTTTTCTTTAAAAGGCACATCTAAATATTTTTGATGATTTTTGGTCCATCTGATATGTAATGGAAGTGTAAGTAAAGAGGAGAGGCACATCCTCAATCTAAATTTCAGTACATGCCCCAATTTTGCAATCCTGTAAAGCTTTCTTGATAAGAGAATTACACACTACTGAGATAATATTTAAAATATATTTATAAGTAGCTGTGGTATATGGTATTCTGCTGAACTCAGAAGTTAACTGAAGCAGCCTCAAATGCCCTAACCTTTTGTATTAGGTTTTTATGTGAATTGGTTTAGATGCTGCAGTACAGGACCTAATGTGGGTAAGATTCATTAGAAAGAGTTAAAAGATGTGGAATGGAAAGCTGGCAGCAAGATGCTCTTGTAGAAGAAAGGTCAAACTTCACATTTTATGGAAGATCTAAGTGAAAGAAATAACAAGCACTTTCTAGTGACTATGAAAAGGTACATATACTTTACCAGCTTACCTTAATTTATCTTGAATTTTAAATAGATCTGGGAATGGTGCAAAGTCCTGCAGCTGATAATTTTTACTCTTGTCAGGTATTGGCAGTTACAGATGTTCTGCAGTGAATTCTGATAAAGTGATACAGAGCGTGAGAACAGGCATTTCTTGTCAACTTTCTTTTCACCTGAATCTGGGAATATATAGTTTGCAATATGAAAACAATGGATACTTTTGAAGGATGTTAACTATATTTTGAGAAATTAACATGACATCTGTTTAAGTACTTCATCTTAGTAAACTAGGAAAACTGAGAAGAATACTTAAGAACAATATGCTTATATGCCTATTTGATAGGGTAGTTGCTATGCCTTCAACAACCAAATTTTCTCATGTTTCTTGAATCACAATAATTATATAGCAATACCAGAGGGCTTTTTAGATTTTAAGTCCAAATGCTGCAAACTAAAATGCAAGTAATGGAGTTTTTTAGACATATGATTTTTGAAAATGCTTCACTAAAGCAGTGTTATGATTTGCAAGTGAACAACAGTTATTTGAAATTCAAAATGTACGAGACATCCAAGTTATTTTATTCAAAATTATCTGTTGCTATCTTCCATTCCAGAAATTCTGTATTCCTCACTCATTTACAGTTGACACGTTTGAAGATTTTAGTAAGGTTTCCTTGAAAAAGTGAGCTAATATTTCATAATACTTTATTCTGAATAAGACATAGTTCTGTGCACAGGTTACCCCACCTTGTCATCATAAGATGATCCAGCCTTTTGAGTGATTAGGCAGCAAGCACAGTTGCTGATACAGAAGATGCACAACTGCCTTATAATAGTTGCAGTCCTGTCCTGTCTTCTCTTGAAGCACTGTTTATTTTTGGAATACGTATCGTGGTTTAGAAGGAAGCATCTTTTTATTTTAACTACTTGTACGGTATGATTCAGGTCTCCTTCTTCAGATCATTGTATAATACCTGGCAGAACTAAATGTGCATGGCAATCTGACGTGGAGCATCTAACCACAAAGCCAGAGCAGTACCAGCAGGTCCAGCAGAACTATATAATGACTGCAGAAGCACTGGATTTCTTTAAAATGCATGTCACTTTTTTTAAGGAGGAGGGAGGCACAAAAAAAGTGCAGTAAGTTTGAGCATAGGTTTGTGATCAGAAGTGTCACTGTGGCACAAAAAGAAAAGAGCTTTGTGTGTTGAATAGTGAGGGCCTGAGTGCTGGATCTCTCTGTAAACCTCTTCATGACACTGCTGACATTTTTGTGCCCCAAAGGTGGTCGGTTTTCGGTTTGGGCTTTTTGCAGCTTTATTGGTTGGCCCAATAAAATGTATTTATTGCTTTTTCTAAACTTTGCCTTCTGTGCTATTAGAGACTATAGAAGAATTTGAAGGAGGTGTCTTTACGACAGCAAAAAATTGTTGGTCTGGTACTGTCAGGCCTTGCTTTATCTCATTTCTACTTCTTCATATTGTTGTAGGTTTTTTGGGTTTTTTGTTTTTTTTTTTTTTTTTTTTTTTTTTCTACAGCTCACTATCACAGGCATTCCTTCATCAGAAAACCTTTGAACTTTTCTGGTTTTCCTTGAAGCTAGGTATATTTTTATCTAATCTTATTGTGTGGGACTACATGGAGCCACAGAAGAGGTGGGAAATGGGTCGATCAATGTGGGAGCAGAGATGCAGGGAAAGTAATGTCAGTAGGCAGAGGTAAAACACGAGAAAACAGCAGTTAAAGCCAGTAATGGAGCTTTGAAATCAAAGCACAGAGTGATCCATGATGCTTCCAAGTAGTAACGGTCACTTGGGAAATAGATCACCTTAGCCAATTTAGTATTGGTTATTTTTAGACTTCCTTACTGCATACAAAGCAGTTGATGATTAGAGGCAGCACTATTTACAAATGACTGTAAACCCAGTGTTGACAACAGTCTTTCATCTTAACAATTGAATAGAACTGTGTTAATATCTTACATTAATTACAGTCTAACTTCAGGGTAGCCTTCAGATGAATTTCCAGTTTAACTGCACTGTATTGTGCCATCTTTTATTAAAATTAGTGCATCTCAAAAGAGAAAGATGACAAATGCTGAAATTTTAAAGCTCATCTGAAATAGTTTATTTTGAATACAAAGTAATTAGCAAACTTCTCTGAATGGCAGATTTGGACAGAAAACATTTTATTATTGCACAAGAAAACAATTTAATCTGTGCTTTCTGTGCTGGGTTTAATGCAGCCTTAACTGTGGCATTGTGGTTTGTGTCTACTTAATGAGATTTCTGCTAATGCATACAATTAGCAAACTAGTTTGATGAAACTGAGGGGCATAAGATAAATATACTTCTAAGATTCCAAAAGCAAGGAGATTGAAGATTCATTCTTCTCTGATTAAAGTGTATTCTAACATGTAGTTTCTTTGGTACTACCTTTTATTGCCTGAAATACAAGAAATAAGAATAACTATCTTGGGACCTAAGTCAAAATAGTTTGTATGCAGATTTCTTGACTTAGGAAATTGTACCTAAAAACTGAGGTTAATTTAATGACAAAGATGCTAAATGCACATTTGGAAATAGAAATTATTCTAAAAAAACCCAGAACTACAGAAATCTGATTTTTAATGGTTTTACATCCTGAATCCTGTAACCATCACTTGAAAGACTCTAGCTTTACTTCCCTCATATGTGTTATGATTTTAGCTTATTCTCTGCCTGTATATCAAGTTTCCTGTAATCTCTTGTTTGCCTTCTTTTTCCTCTTTCCCCTATTTTCCTTACCGTGCCATTTAATTGCAGGCTGGAAAAGAGCCAGCAAAGTGCTATAGCTGGTTTTGAAATATGCCATTGCGTGCAGGCAGATAATTAGAAAGCAGACTAAACAGGACAGATAATTGTTGACATCACTGTACCACTTTTCCATAATGGAGGGGCTAAGATGGAGATGGGTTTTTCTCTCTGTTCATTAATTTGTGTGCAAGTTACAAGAAATTAATACTGTTGACTTCTTACTCAGATTTGTTTGAAAATGGTGAAGAGTGTCAGAAGTTGTTAGTGTGCTCCTGAACAAAAACCAGATGCATGGACAACAAGATCACACAAGCTTTTTTTCCTTAGAAAACTGATCTAAAACCCTGTTTCTAATTATGTGAAGATAGATTTAATAAACTGAGTGTCACTAATCAAAGAGTTTCATGGAAAACATGTTCTTACGTTACATATATAAAATATATTGCAAATGTATATATTAACAATCTAACTTCTTTATTTTAGCCCAAACTTATTGTAACAGCAAGTTTTGGAGTAGAACCGAAACGGAAAGTGGAATACATATCTCTTCTAGAAGGAGCACTGGCAAGGGCACAGAGCAAACCTGATAAAGTTCTCATTTACAAGCGACCTAATTTGGTGGGTGTGCAGCTGTTGTGCCTTTATGGTAACTTTCGGATGTGTATGTAACACACGCGTCTTTTCTCTTTCACAAGTAACATTTTTGGTGTATCTGTTTGTAGTATGTTTTTGAATTTTATGGGGGAACTTTATATTCAGAAGATTTAAATAGTAAACAGAACTTATGCAGCAGAGAGATTACAGTACAGAAAATTCAATAGTAAGTGTTTTTTTTGACCCACTTCCATTAGTCCATCTGTTTTTCTTTTGACATTTTTCTATTTTTCAATGGGCAGGGCCATGTTCCTCTTGCCCCAGGTCGTGATCTTGACTGGGAAGAAGAGCTTGCAAAAGCACAATCCTATAAATGTGTCTCCGTTCCCTCAGAGCATCCACTTTATATTCTGTATACATCTGGAACAACAGGCTTGCCCAAGGTAAGGACTGTCTGTAGTCTGTTTGTGACCAACCTATTTGCAGTTCCACTTGAGAAAATATGTAATTAAAAAGGTTGAAGAAGTTGCCAGTGTTCAATATAAATCAGTATAAATCAGTATAAATGATAAGCATTGCTAGAAATGGTTTAATCTCATTTATTCACATTTCACTACTTTCAAGTCAGTGTCTAGGAATAAATCATGTTGGTTTGTCTAAATGGTAGTAATGTAAAGATAACCTGCATTTACTTCAAAATGTACCTTATAAACTTTGTAGGACAGCAGAATGTCTTTATTAATATCTTCTGTATTTTAACTGTTTGAGGTAAGTGTAGTATAGTCACTTAATAGCTAGGTTAATTAAGTTAACATATCACTTGTGTGATAGCCTTCATTGCTGAATAGTCTTTGCTTACTCATTATTTACATATTAACTAATCTTCCCATAGATAAGATGTAATGAATGACATTACAGATTAAATGCAATTAAGCGTGTTCTGAAGGTTTGTGTTACTGAACAGTTCTGAGAACACAATTCCCATGAAAATGAAAATTTAGATTAAGTGAAAACTGATGTAGGGCATTCTTTGAAAATGTTTGCTTTCAAATGTCAGTTAGTCTTAATGACCTATTTTGAAAAGATTTTATTTTAAAAGCAAACTCTTGAGTGTTTGCTTGGTAGTTAACATTTCTCTTTTAAAGTGTAGAATACAAGCCGAGTATAATTTTCTGGTGGTGGTTTTACCACCACAAATTCAGAGACAGTATCACACATCCCTGCATATGGCAGTGCTTAGACTACCACTAGATGTGGCCTATAAAGTTCAGAATCTATGGAGAGGTAAGGAAAAACAAGCATCAGTTTTGCTGAGAAAAATGTCTTCTGCTTTTGCCTTGAATGCGGGCACTTTAAAGTAACATTTGTATCTTGAATCATATTTTCCAAAGGTCCAAGATAAGATCCTTTGTTACAACAGGTATTTTCCTTGACTGTTAGTTTCAAAATACAATATCTCAGAGATAAAAGTTCTCAGAAGTTTACTTCACTGTGTTGACTCTCCAGAGAAAAATAGAGACACCTTGAATGAATCATCCTTGTAAGAGGGAGAATGTCAACTAGCGCTAAGCTCCAATGAATAACTTCATGAATAAAACCACTTCTTTATTCATTTAAGGAACTTGCTTTTAAATGGTCATGCAAGTAAAATTACTCACTTACGTCCTTCATAACAAAACTTTTGTTGATCTCAGAGCAGGGACTAAGTTAGAAGCTGACACTAACAAAGGCATTCTGCTTTCTGAAATTAATGAAGTGTTAGTTAACCATTCTCTGCTGCGGCAGTCTCCATTTTAATATGCCTCTATAGTCCCCCCTTCCTTGGACGAGGCCTGAAAGTTCCTATTTCATTCTATTAACTACATAAAGAGAATGTACTGTGCCTAGCACAGACAGATAGCTGCACTGTAATGTCTGCACTGCAGGCATTTGCTTGGTCAGATGAATCTCACCTGAATTTTAGTTCAGGACATAGTTTGCTTAATTTTTTCTTCTAGAAGCAATGTACTAGAAGATGATGAAAGGTATATTAAACATAAAAATATTACAAAATATTTCAAAATTTTTCTTATTAACAGTGTTTCAGAGTCGATTTTTGGCTTACCAAGGTGCATGATGCTATTGATATTCTTATGTTTTAATTTTCAAATCTCCCTTTTAGAGTAAACTGGGATGTTCTTCATTTTGCATTCATATGTATACTTCAGGATAGTTACTAAACCTTTAAAAATAGACATCTGTTTTAAGCCAGTTTTCTGACATCTTCAAAAAGAGTCAGTGCAGAAAGAGGGGTACATTTCAGGGAGTAATTTACCCCCGTTGTTTCAGGTATCGCTACTCCACAGGTGCTCCTCTTTTCTAGTGATGATAGACTAGACAATGAGTTTGAAAAATGCCTAGCATTTAGGTGGCCACAGTTTAAGTGAGGTAAATACTCAGTCTCTTATTTTTTGTCAGCATATGTTGACTAAATATTTCTATACCTGATTTTAATGAGAGAATTCTAGTCTTTGTTAGTTATCTTCTGAAAATTACTGCCATCTAAGGCTTGGGTTAGGGTTTTTTGTTTGGTTTTTTTGTATGTATGTTTGTTTGTTTGTTTGTTTTCCAAAATTACTTCCTCAGTGGGAATGCTAGCACAAGCATATACTTGTTGGAACAGATCCTTTTCTTAAGTGAGGAGTATTGGAATTAACTTTAAGTCCATTACTGCTAAACCCCCCAAAATTTCACTGAAGACAGGAATATGATTTCATCCTTCAAATCATATTAAATAGTAAAATTTTCTCGTTTAGGGTGTTGTCAGACCAACAGGTGGCTATGCAGTTATGCTCAACTGGACAATGTCAGCTGTATATGGACTCGAACCTGGTGAGGTAATTCTGTTTAAATGTCATGTAAATTTTTTTGAACTCCTCTTAAACTCCCCACTATATTTATGTTTTCATTTAATTTTAGGTGTGGTGGGCAGCTTCTGATTTAGGCTGGGTTGTTGGTCATTCCTACATTTGCTATGGACCTCTCCTTCATGGGAATACTACAGTTTTGTATGAGGTATGATCCATTCTAAAAAGCAGCCTTTGAAAAGGCAGAATCTCCTCCCATTGATGATCCTGTTTATGCCTGCCATATATATTTAAATTGTATATATATATTTATATTGTGTATATATATATTATATATTGTATATATATCTTCAGTGTTTGTACTCTTCCATCTATTGCAGTAATTCGTAAAGAAAACTTACTTCACTATGGTTCAAACTTGTCTACTTCATCAGCGTGACTGGTATTGGTTAGTGGGACAAGAAACTCCAAAACAGCAGAGCTAGAAATGGCAAATGGTGAAATGTACCTGTGTTGCTGAGGCTTCAGCCACAAGTCATTAGACTACCTTTATTATGGATTTAGGAGAGGATGTTGTGTTCTGCATATCTGGAGATGACAGATTCTTACTGAGTCTGAGTTGGAGGCAATTGGGAACTCTATGGTTGGAGCCAGAACTCTTAAGGAGACTTGTCTCTTCTTTCCTCCCCCTGCCACTCAAGGCATCTGAAGCCAAGACTCAGATGACATTGGCCCTTCTCCTTGGGGAATGAAACTTGGTTGGGTGGAGATGGGACTAGTCCAATTAGGGTGGCTTGCTGCGTCCTAACTTCAGTGCTCAGAAAAGCAATCACACTGTTTTACATTGTTGGTTTTTCAGAAGTTTTGTTGACTCTCTAATCACCAGACAAGAAAATACAGTGTTGCTTGAACCATCTTCTTTATTCTTCAGGGAGTGAATCCAGTATCCATCAGTGACAGTGAAAGACATTTTATGTAAACGCACCGACATCATTAGCTCTTAAGCATGCTGAGACTTGGTTGCTTGCCTTCGCCTGGCATTAGGAATTCTGGATATATCACAGCTTCTCCAACACTGTGCAGAGTGAAGCTCACCTAGTAATTGCTCTATTTTTCAATGGTCCTAGAGACAGAACTTGTTTTAGCTCTGCCATTGTGGCATGCCGATCATCTCTGTTGACTTGTAGTAGTAATTATAAATGTGTGAACCATTGAAGGAAATCTAATGGTAACTCATGGCAGAGCATACAAGAACTGCAAAAATGTAGTGAATGTACTGATACTGAAGGCACAAAAAAGCATATGAAACAAGCTTTGATGACATTGTGAATGTAGCAGTTGTTAGAGCACCATCTGTACCCAGTGCTTGTGGAGCAGGAGAGTCAGCATGACATGGTGGAAACATACTGGTTTACAGAGTATCATAAGTGCGGAAGTTCTGCATAAGGAGATGTGTATTATGGTTAAACTTTTTCCATCTTCCCGCTAACACACCATACAAGTGAAGATGGCCATACTAGAACAGAAATGGATTGTTACTGTTGTCAGGAACAAATGTTATCAGAACAATCCTTTGGTGTTTGCACAGCCAGTTAAGTTAGTGTTGGTTGAGATGTGCTTCACTGTTATGAACTTACATACCACTGTTGGTGGGTAGCTCGTACTGGGATTCTGCATGAATTTTGAGGAAATACATTTCTGAATCCTGGGGATACGGAAGAAGCATGAATGGTTGTAGTAAGGTGAGATTGCCTCCAAAATTGTTTGGATGCCATTGCATCAAACACTACAGAACTGACTAGTGCTTCCTGCATCCTATTTTGGAAGTTAGAAGTATACTTTACTGCTCGAAGTTCACTCTATAAACTTGTAAGTGGGATTTTCACAAGCAGAAGACACCTCTTGAAGCAGGTCAAGAATCCTCAAGTACAGAGAAGCAATGGCTATTAGGGGTGCATCTACATGATATTTCAAATCACAGCAGTAGTGCAGTTCTGAAATAAGTCCTCCAATTGCTTATTGATTTGGTTCACAGAGTAGTTTTAGACATGTGAATGACACCTTTACAGAGGAAGCTAGGACAGAAGGTTTGCCACTTGAGATAAAAGGGTAGGATCCAATGAGTGGGACTGCACTGCTCTGAAGTTCTCCAGAGCAAATGAAAAGTGCATATGCCAACAGAAAGCTTTAAAACTGTCGGTAGCTCCCACCTTATTCTGAAGTACTTGTCGTGCTATGCAAAAGGGCTAAATGCTATGTGCGACTTCATGTTTTCCAGTGCCTGCCAGATGTCTGCTTGTTCTGACTTTCAGCTGCTCCTTTATTTCTTCCAAGCTTTGGCTTCTATCTTCTTCAGCAGCCCTGTTTCTTTTGCTGTTCTTTGTTTATGAAAAACATCTTTCTTATAACATGATTAAAATTTTTCCTCCTTTCCTACTGCTACATTTTGCGATACTGACAACTCTTGCTTTGACCTCCCAGAATATTGAGCCAGGGGCAACCTGGAGCTTGACAGCATGTGCTCTGAAGGACCGAAAAGCTTCTGCAGCAGATGCACCACCCTGTTGCCAATGTCAAGCCTGCTGCTAGGTGGGAGAGGACTGACAAGTGGTGCTGCATTCATTTCAAGCAGATGAAAACCAACTTGCTGAAGAGGTGGGACAACCATGCTTCAGAGGTGGCACAGTGCGTGTGCCCCTACCACAGAGATCTTGAGCTGATCTTCAGGGGAGGGGAGAGCACTCTGCCAAGCCTACTGCTTATGAGGACATCCACACCCTTGGTCCCAGGACCAACAGTCTGGGAGAAAAGTCTAGGGAAAAGCATGGCAATGGTGCTGCACACATCTACATGCCTGCAGCCTCCAGAGGAATGCTCAGGAGGGTGGTGACTGTCTTCAGTGAAGGAGCAGACAAAGTCCTGACACAAGTGCATTGCTGGATGTCCCACCTATGACAAAAAGAGCAGAGAACTGAGCATACATGTACTGCAGAAGCTGTGCTCAGTGTCTCAGTCGGAAGGAAGATCTCAAAGATGTCCTCACAGATGGCTCAAGCTAAAAGTGATACCCTGAATTTGGAAGGTATTGGAAACTTTTGCACAGTGTCTGTCCCACATAGCCCAGTGTCTTTCAAATGACCAAATGTAGATTGCAGTTCCATTATGCATTCAGTGAAAGCATGATGAAATTAGGCCTGTGCTGCACCATTTTCAGTGTTCTTTATGGTGTGGGACGCAGGGGTATGCATTATCTCTCATGATGCTCTGTCCCTTCTTGGCCAGAAGGCACTGGCATATGTTTTGGTTCTGTGACCAGAGATATGGAATATAGGGCTTATAGAAATTTTACGGTGGAACCTACTGGTGATGTGTGAACTGACATGCTACTGTCATCTGCATGAAACAGATGAAAGGGACAGCACGACATTTCTTAGAAGAGAGGTCCCTTCAGTCAAAGGAGCAAAGACTGGTAGGATAGCTTTCCACCAGAAAACTTTGAGCTCCACTTTTTGTGGAGCTAAGTCTAATCTAAAATAAACCTCAGATAACATCTAATGGAAGAGGTAAAAGAACATTGGCATTAAATAGTTTGATCTGCTAATCTGCTTTAATTCACCTCACTACTTGCTATGTAAACAAAGTCTGTGATACCGTATGTGCTTGCGTTCATGTTTCATGTTATCATTTCACATGGTAGTAAGTTTATTTTTAACCAGTGCATGTAGTAGGAAAATTGATAATCTCTCCTAGAACAGCAGACTGTGCCTAGGTGACACCTGTGTATGTTGCTTTGTACAAAATCCCATTTATCATTTTTGCAACAGAAAAATGTAAAATAAGAAACAAAATGCAATGTTTAGAAGCAAAGCAGATCTTGAGGTCTTAAAAATGTGTTTTGGAATGTGCTTTTTGTGGTTGACTTTTAACTTTGTGATTAACTTTAAAAGTGTTAACTTCTTCTGTTCATGGAAAGACTTTGGGTAATGTGTCAAGTTGTTCTATGAAATAGAAAATGAGCTTTTGTCAGGGTGTTTTTCTTCCACCTCATTTTGTGATCTGTAGGATCTGAGGCAAGGTGGGACAACCATGCTTCAGAGGTGGCACAGTGCGTGTGCCCCTACCACAGAGATCTTGAGCTGATCTTCAGGGGAGGGGAGAGCACTCTGCCAAGCCTACTGCTTATGAGGACATCCACACCCTTGGTCCCAGGACCAACAGTCTGGGAGAAAAGTCTAGGGAAAAGCATGGCAATGGTGCTGCACACATCTACATGCCTGCAGCCTCCAGAGGAATGCTCAGGAGGGTGGTGACTGTCTTCAGTGAAGGAGCAGACAAAGTCCTGACACAAGTGCATTGCTGGATGTCCCACCTATGACAAAAAGAGCAGAGAACTGAGCATACATGTACTGCAGAAGCTGTGCTCAGTGTCTCAGTCGGAAGGAAGATCTCAAAGATGTCCTCACAGATGGCTCAAGCTAAAAGTGATACCCTGAATTTGGAAGGTATTGGAAACTTTTGCACAGTGTCTGTCCCACATAGCCCAGTGTCTTTCAAATGACCAAATGTAGATTGCAGTTCCATTATGCATTCAGTGAAAGCATGATGAAATTAGGCCTGTGCTGCACCATTTTCAGTGTTCTTTATGGTGTGGGACGCAGGGGTATGCATTATCTCTCATGATGCTCTGTCCCTTCTTGGCCAGAAGGCACTGGCATATGTTTTGGTTCTGTGACCAGAGATATGGAATATAGGGCTTATAGAAATTTTACGGTGGAACCTACTGGTGATGTGTGAACTGACATGCTACTGTCATCTGCATGAAACAGATGAAAGGGACAGCACGACATTTCTTAGAAGAGAGGTCCCTTCAGTCAAAGGAGCAAAGACTGGTAGGATAGCTTTCCACCAGAAAACTTTGAGCTCCACTTTTTGTGGAGCTAAGTCTAATCTAAAATAAACCTCAGATAACATCTAATGGAAGAGGTAAAAGAACATTGGCATTAAATAGTTTGATCTGCTAATCTGCTTTAATTCACCTCACTACTTGCTATGTAAACAAAGTCTGTGATACCGTATGTGCTTGCGTTCATGTTTCATGTTATCATTTCACATGGTAGTAAGTTTATTTTTAACCAGTGCATGTAGTAGGAAAATTGATAATCTCTCCTAGAACAGCAGACTGTGCCTAGGTGACACCTGTGTATGTTG